TAGATAGATAGATAGATAGATAGATAGATAGATAGATAGATAGATAGATAGTTTTTCTGAAGAAGTCCACCTAGCTAGAAGAAAATGGTTTAGAGCTTACAGCTGGCATTTCATAAGATTCTTTGCAGATCCAATTCTGTCAGATCTTAAAAGAAGGTAAATTTCACACCACTGCATGAGTTCAGAACTTGAACACAGCATATTCACCATAAGACTCTGTTTATTCATTTAATAACTTAAAAGACTATTGACTAGAAGCTTAGCATTTCCTGGCTGCACAATAGCTTTGAGCAGTATCACAACCTGTATGTGGGGGCAAAAAACCACTACAGTTTGAGGGCAACTGAAGTCCTCTTCCTGTGCTTCTTCCTCTGAATTGAAGTTTGAAGACTGCAGGCATTTCTGGTGAACGCCAGAATACGTCAGTTTCTGCCATCTGTTCACACTCATCTACTCGTTACTGAGCAGCTGCAGGCCAGACAGGGCAGTCGTTTGCCCAAACTTCAGTGACGCAGGGATTCAAACCTGCCATTCATTCCACTGAAATAGGAGTAGTAGATTTTATCAGAGGGGAAGAGTCAAAGAATTTTCCTCTAATTTTTCTGTGTAGCCTTTCTTGACAGGATGTGGCATGTGGCTGCACAAGTGTCACACTCGTTAATCTTGTTCATTCTTCATTTATATTTATACTATCAGATTTTACTGAAAGGTTTATTATTAGTTTCATAAGAAGAAATTTAATTGTCTGATATTCAGGTATGAGAAGGTATTCATTGAGAACTCTTGTCTGGATCTAAGGGCTAGAGAGAAGAAAGACAAAAGAGGCTTTTTGGCCAGTGTAACTCTGGAGACGACATTATAAAACACGAGCCAGTTAGAGAATAAACGCCACCAAAGTGAGAGATACTTACCACAGCTACAGTACACATTTTGAAAAGGAAATGATCGCGTGCACTGGCGTGTTTATATCAAACATGGGATTGGATTAATGAGGGGGACTTAATTTCCAAGTAGTGGGAGGAATGAGAACAGAATCATGGGAGAATGTTCCAGTTGCAAAATGCAAGAAACCGCTAGGAACTAGAGTGGGAAAAGCAATCTGCCCTAGGTGGATTAGTCCGGGGAAGATACACAGAATGCTCTATAAGGGAAAATGAGGTTAGCCAGAAGAACTTCTGGCTGTTCCAGAAATTCAGCCAGGAGGTAATTTGGACCTGAACTAAGGACAAAGCACTGCACAGGAAGGGGTGGGGGGGATGATCCAAAAAGAATTTTACCTGGAAGAGTCCAAAGATCAGATGTTTCTAATTAAAA